TTGGAGGAGTATTTTCTTTTAGGTTCCAAAAACAACCGTAACTGCCCACCTCTGTCCGCCCTGTCTATCCACCATGACACGCCGCGCTTTCCTTTCCCCAATGGCACGGACTCACGCAAACGCACTTGCCACCGAGGCAACACCGCATGGCACAGCGACATCACCTTTCGAAAGCTTTAGCTGTTAGTCTACTGAAGAATCACTATTCTAATGAAGATTTTTGTAGGGGAAAAGGAAGACCCTTCGATCTGGTTTCTTTTTTTGCATTTTTGATACGAGTTTAATAAAGGATTTTATATAAAAATTTACTGATTTACTTTTTGGCTTTAAAGCTCTTCCCAGGTGACCCTATTTTGGACCCTCCGATTTCAGGGACCCCCTATTAGAAAAAATGCGACCGAGGTTTCCTTATTAGGGGGGGGGGGGCGTGTTTTTTAATAGGTGGACCGGATTATATTGTTTCTTGGAACTTTCAAAGACTGTTGCTACAGCAGAATGGTCAATCAATTGCACGAATCTTATATAAGTGGTAGACAAGTACACTTTTACCTTCTAACATGAGCCTTGAATTTCATCCATACAGCTTCCTCCATCTTCGGGTTTCGCTCGCAGTCTACAAAGAGATAAATTAATTGAGAAGGAAATGAAGGACTGTTTGGAGGAACACTTTTGCACTTGCAGGCAGCAGCGTTGGCAAAGTACATGCAATGCATAGTGTGAACGCACCAATGCACTTGGCTGTATATGCCCTGTGTTGCAAAACAGGTCAGTCCTCTGGCGAAAGGCACCCATCACCATTGACATCAAACAAAGCAAATATGTTCCGCAATGCCTGAAACGTTTCAAGCGACCAAAGCCAACACTCCCCTCGTCCGAACAAACACTGAAGAAGGTTACCATCCTTTCGCCCAAACGCAACTTATAACATAAGTAAGCATGAAAAGAGGAAGAGGAAATAAGGGTCGCATCCCTTCAACAAGGCCCCTACCTTCCATTTTGTGTGCGCACTATTGCGCACTTAACATAACTTGATTACTGTATGTTTTGGAATGTCGGCCCAGGAACCAGGTAGTATCCTCTCTACATTACACCGACGCTCTCTTTCAATGCGTGAAGGCACGCCAATGCGCCTGTCGGATACCTGCATGGTACCGAGGCCCCATCTTGGCTCTTTCTAGCAGCGCCTGTGGCTGAAGCGCTCAATCATAGAATTTTGGGCAAACAGCCACTGAGGTCTGGCTTCAACTTCGAACAAGTTGTCCATATTCATTCACGGGTCATTGCGTATTGGTCTTTCCATTGCTTCATGGATTGCTGTAGCTAACGTGTGGTAAAGTTGGACAAAGTAGTACCACCTGGAAGCACCTGACCAAAAAAAAACAATGCAACGTTGCCTGTCGACATGGTTTGCTTGCGCTAACGTAATTAGTGTTGGGCCAGCTCTGAATTTGTGCTGCGATTACTCTCACTCTGTATGACTCGATATTGTTTTGCAACTTTTATTGACTGCATGTTGCAAATGTTTTCTGAAACTTCTGTGAACATTAAACAACAAACTGGCGCACATCCAAAGTGAAGGAGCCTATGGGAACAAAAGTCCTATCACTTTTTAGTGAGTACAATCAGAACTTCTGATTCTTCACACCAATAGTGCCGTTTATACATACAGTACAAAACTGGTTGAAAGGCTATCTTATCTCTGTCTTCGTCATAGCAAGTTCTATCCACTGTATCATTTCTACTCTGTCCTTGTCGTTTACCATTGTTCAGGAATTGCATCATTGATCCTGCTGCTTGCTCCCAATACGGATCATTTCTCAAACCACAGGCTTCCGAATATACACTCCCGAATAAACACGGAGATGAAACATGGCCCCTTGGATGACCACTTTCCTCTACAAACAGGTGGTTTTCCGCTTCCATGATTAATTTAATTTAGGGAGTGTAACTGTTGTCAATGACAAATCCGTCCACATCCTCCCTGCTGCCTTTTCTTGCCTTCTTACCCGTCTTCTCGTCTGCGCTATTCAAATTCCTACGCCTACACAATCCTGGACGTCAATTTCGACGGGTCGGGATTTATGTAGAAATGTGGGGCAAGTGTTTGCTTTGTTATGAGATCATCCAATTTACAATTATGCAAATGTCTGGAATTCTGCAGGGTCTAGGTATGTCTGGGTACAGTACCACATCTCTGATATCATGTAGGATCACTCACTAGGGTGCCTTGATCCTGGCTCTCTGCAAAATCTGTTTGTGAGGTGCTTGCGAATGCATTAACCAGGATCTCTGACAAAGATCTGATAGCTATAAAATTAATTGCTTCCCCAAAGCATCACCATCTTTACAACATTGAAGTTGTGAAGATCTCTTGACACTCTTACAACTTGCCACCAAACCAGAATGTGGAGTGTCTCAAAGTGCTGCCATGAAAAATGAACTAGAATCTCGCAGAACGAAGCTTTTGCATGAGACGTCATCCAAAAGCGTGAATGAAGAGTCTACAGTATCTGGAGTTCATGATTCCCTGGCCACATCGAAGCTGTTGCCACATGCTAAGCTGCACTTGGCAAGAGAACATATCCCGCCTTCTCATCACTTTAAATTTACGCTCCCTCGAAATAGGTCGAACCTACACCGTTGACTAAAGTGACCTCCACGTCCAATAATGAGCACAGCATCACGTGCACACGAAAACCTAATTGTAGAACCTGGACCTTTGGCAAGAAGTCCTTAGTGAGACTATTTGGGGAAAACACGCCTTCCCTGTTGCTTCTGTTCTTTCCTCCTGCCCATATTCCCTTCTTCTCTAAGAATCTACGTGATCTTCCAAACCTTGGACCTGGCGAGTGATGCTGAAAGTTTGTATATAATCATCATAAAGTGCCCTTCCAGCGTCCTTTTCCATTCTTCTGCTTCTTCTTCTTCTTCTTGTTTTTCTTTCCCTTCCCTTCTGTGATCCTACAGAACTGCTTCAACCGGGATCAACTCTATAACTTCTACAACTATCCTTTTGCAACATTACATTTGAGGAAGTGGCGCAGCCATCTGTTGGGGGGGCAAGGCACTTTCTGCGATTGTGAATCCTGGCACTTATGGGGCACTGTCCTCCATGGGCCTGGATGGCTAAGCAGTCTGGAAGCCATTCACGTCAATCACATTGCAACATGCAAGTCATGGTGCCTGCCACCTTGTAAAGCAGAGTAGTGTTTGCTCTTGATTGGATTGAGTTCGGACTAAAGGGTGGAGTTGGCGATTGCGACACACCAAACGGCGCAAGAACGGATCACGAGGCGCAAGAACGGATCACGAGGCACAGCGACAAATCACGGTAGACGGTAGACCAGCGCAACCCCAAGATACCCTGCCGAAACTGCGCCAAAATGCCGAAAGATGCCAACAGGAGACCGCTAGCTTCCCCCTTCAAAACCAGGCTAGTTTCACCGGCCAGCCAGCTCAACAACAGCGTACCCGCAACCTCGCCAATTAATTAAGTCATTTGACAACTTGCCATATCTTGCCACCTCAAGATATAGCTTGCTCAGCATGTGACTCAACCTGAAACTAGCTTGACACCATTTACAGCTAGCACCAGCTTCTACATTGAGCTGGCTTTGCCTTTCAAATCACCTAAAAGCAACGTGCACCTCAAGCCATTTATGGCACAAAGGCAGAGTGGCATAGATTATTGACCATGATTGTGTCGTTTATGATGCATTGAATGCATGCGCATTGCACTGTAGCGCCGCCTTCTGAGTCTGCTCGGTCATATGATCCAAGACCTGGCATTGTTGCAGGCTCCATTCTTGTCTACCCTTAGCATGACTCAACTCGGAACATGCAAGTTAACATATTCGCATTTCAAGTATGCTGCACACCTACCTTTCAGGATAAATGTAGAATATTTTGTATTTACTGTACATCTCGGCACATTGCAAAGATTGGACTTGTATTTTTGGATACTTCACCGCCTCCTGGCGAGACATACCCATCTCCTGGTACGCGGTCAGGGTTCGGACTCGGAACTCCTCACGATAGAGCAACGAATTGTTTGACTGAAGTCTGCAGCAATGCACGATCTTGCATGTCATACGCTGTGAAGTCCTGAAAATCTAGAAACCCGCTCGAGTCGAGATCTGCAAGTGTCATCTTGGCACATCCAGATTCTCCACGGTACACCTGAAAGAACAATTAGCAAGTACATGTATATAGACAAACAAGACTTCAAGACAAACGTTGAGAACAAACATATAAAGAGGAAAAAAAGAACCTTTCTCCTTAGACTTCTACAGGAGAACACAGTGGAATTCCGGCGGAGGAGTTTCCACCCCGAAGTAAATTTGTAGTATGAACATTTAGTTTGGGGTAGAAACTCCTCCGCCTGAATTCCATTGGGAAGAAACCGTTAGTTATCTCACTAGATTCTGGAACGAAACTGTTACCAAACTTTCTTCCTTCTAAGCCTTCTGCACTTGAAGCTGGGCGAATTGGAAAAGGATCTTTCCAAACAATTTCTGTGGATTCTTGCCTGGCCATCCTCATAGTGCAATCGCATCTCAATGGCCAGGAACTCCTCACGGCTGAGAAAGCCAGACCTGGCATTGCGGTGCATGACGCATAGCATGAATGCTACATGAATCCATATGTTTGATGGTACAATACGTCACAATCATCACAGGACGTGCATTCCATTGCATTCCCGTCACGAGGTGTGCAGCATCCAAGGATCCACACTCATCTAAATCATACGCTTTGAAAAGCTGGGTCAAAGCGGACTCAATCTCATCTGCACCTCAAGCTGGAGCTCAATTGGACGGACATAGACATACAAAACAAACAAAACATTCTCACTATCAACTCCGCCTTCATCCATGACCAAGTGTCGCTGGCTCGGCTTGAGCAGCTGATTCTGCAGATGTTCTCTCGATACTTACTGCAACCAGCTCGTATAAATCAGTGCGGGATAAGAAAATGGCTAACGCGCCAGCAAGCTCACATTTCCGCCGACGGTGTGACAGCGTGTGTCTTCTTTCCGCCGCCATTGTGTGACATCCGGGTCTTTGAGAAGGCAAAACCAGGCAAAAACTCAAGATTCAACTATATTCAAATCACATCAAATCACAGTACATGCTTGACGCAGTGGTCTCTACCGCCGCCGCTCACCAAAAAGAGAAAGCACATGAAGGAATATGTTGATGATGTCCTTATCAAAAAGTCAGGGTCGCATAGCCGAAATGCATATGGAGAATATGCAAGCTCGACTTGGAAGAGGTCCATGTAGAGATTCAAAGCGGCGAACACGTATTCATCAATGGAAACTGCCACCTGCAGCAATCTTCAGTTTCACATTGCACATCTAATTATGGGAATCACTCAGATCACCAGAACAGTCTTTTCATGCTTTGCGGAACAACCCAATTATTTTTCATTTCTTGCACACATTGTCCCATGACAATGTGTATATATATATATATATATGTGTTTTTTTTTCTCTCTCTCTCTCTCAAGTACGAACTGTCTATGTTTTGTTCAGGCCTTGTGTCCTCCCCATTCGCCAAGCATCAGCCTTCTGAACGGTACACATCGCTAAAAATCACTTTGTATATTATATATTCTTATTGTGGTACATAACACTTTGATAACGTCGAAAAAATGCAGTATGCAGTATATACAGATTCGGCTGCAAAACCACAAGAAAAACACTTGCTCAGGAAGAACCTCACTTGCCGCCAAGAATCTGGGTATCAAAAATGATGGCAAAGGAAAACAACAGAACCTCAATGAACAAAACTGGTACCACGTGATCAACTTTGGTCAACAAACAGTCGACTACACTTTGAAATCCTTCCACCTGGTGGCCTCTGTGCATCAAATTTTTCAATGTTGAAACACAACTTACAGCAACATGTCTGCAGCTGACGCTCACACGCCCAAACAATCATAGATGGCAGTGCTGATGGAGATAGGGACCCCCATCCTTGCAGGTGAATTGTGTGCAGATCGATTTTCAATCTTTCGGCCAAGGCTGCCACAAGGGAAGCAACCCCAGGATAAGACCAAATATGAACAGCGCCAAAAAACCAGCAAATAAATAGGGCCTCAATGGATGCACGGCGCATACGCCACTTTGTCGGCAACAACACAGATGTCAAACAAACTTCTCAGCCAGTTGCAAAGAACCAACACATCAAATTGAGCGTGCGTCTAATATGGTAATGTGACGACTTCATCCGCCGACCCTGCCTAGCGCCTGCCAAGGCAGGGCGGCGCATGGGGCCACCTTCGGTGTGGAGCTTTGTTTGGCCGGAGCATGCCCTCCTCAGAAGCCTGGACGGTTTTCTTGCCCCCAAACCCTCTTGGCAGCTTAGAAACTGCCATGTGGCATGGCTTTCTTGCCCCTCAAGCCCTCCTCGGCAGCTTGGACTTAAGCCGTCAGAATTGTGTCTCTCTATGAGGCTTCGAAGCCTGTTGTGTGGCACAGTTTTCTTGCCCCCTCAAGCCTCTTGCGGGACCTTGGGGCCCCCAAGCCAGGCTGGCCACCCGTTTCGCTCCATGAAGTCTGAACAATACTAAAAAGCTTCGTGGATCTCAATGCCAATGCAGAGTTCTTTAAGTCTTGGGCCGAAAGGCCATTGGAGCAAGAACGTGGATATCGGTATGGGGGTGGCCCTGGCTAAGTCTGCAGGGCCTGCCGCTGACCACACGTAGACCATGTGGGGGGGTTTGGCACGGGTAAACTTGCAGGGCCACGAAGGAGGATGCTTGGAGGCCCGCCCGGGCGAAAACGGAGGGGCTAGAAAACCTCGCAAATATCCGGCTTTTGCGACAACGCACGCACAAAAGCCTTGAAACATACAGTGTTTTGTTAGCAGTGTGGATTAAGATGCTCTTCTTAAATGCCTCTTGTTTTTAACATGTTCGTCAGGGTATCTCCTCCTCCTTCCTTCAAGACGGCTCAAGATGGCCTCAAACTGCGACTTATGCCGTCCAAGTTGCCTTGCATTTATGGCGCTTTCTTTTTCGTTGGTCCCTTTCCTGTTCCTACAACACAGTACCAGAAACACCGCCAACACCAACAACACCAACCACAACAGCTACACCGTGGGCGACACCAACAACAACCACAACCACAACCACAACCACACCACGACTCCACCCACATCCCCATCCCCACCCTCACCCCCCACCACCCCCACAAAACAAAAACAACAACAAACCGTGCCACTGAACCCTGCTGGCCCGCAGTTGGGCGTAAGCCCCTAAATTCCATATGACTTGGTGTGATTCCTTGGCAGTGATTTCCAGCGATCCTTGGTGATTTCTTGGGGACTGAGACTCTCATTATAAGAGGCTGTGGACACATGGGTTCATGAATCGACTGTGGAGCTCCCATTCCAACTTTGTCAACAACGCTCCACCCATGCGCCTGTGCCTTGGTGGGTTGTGCGAATGGTCCAAAAGATCAATCAAAATACGCCAAATACACAGGATTAAACGGGACCAGTGCCCATGGCAGAAAACCAGCAAGAAAGCATCCCCTGGTAAGTTGGGGGGTGTGAGGTTACGCAGCCGATGTTGCAAATAGATATACATTGGTCTTTGGGCCACTTGGCTTTGGCAGCAAAATAAATCCAAATAGAATGACTCATGTTTCAAGAATTACATACGTTTCAATGACTGCTCCTTCAAGTTCTCTACAACATGACACGTTTCTACAAAAGGAAACCTAGTGTGTTTTTTGTCATATACCCGTCGTTTGTCGAAGTCAAATGACAAGTATGGCCATTGGCACGCTGATGGGACCTATTTAATTCTTTTCTTTTGGCCCTCTGCAAACTGCTAAGACCACCTCCACCAAAAAACACGTTTTTTTATAAACAATGCCTTATCTCGTAGGTCTCACAGTAGTGCGTGCTTCGAGCACTCTGGATTTCAAAGCTCTGCGAAAAGCGAAGAAGCGAAGTAGCGGCCGCACATGTAAAAGTAAGGCTCAGGTGGCCAACTCAAGGGAAGTGTGAAGGTTCAGGCGGCTTTCGACATGCTCGAACGCACACACAACTGACATGACCTAAAGGCTGGTTCGTGAGGTTCTTCATCTGGAGGCTCTTCGATCTCGTCCTCCGGCGCATCTCCAGAGAAAAAGACGCCGACCGACCCGCGCAATGGCTGACAGGTCTTCGTGCTCCAAAATGATCTTGCCCTCGGCGGTCATGAAAGCTCCTCCACGATGTGCGAAGGGGATGTCATTGGGCCATCTTCGAGCAGCTGGTGTCCATGTAGCCTGCGACACGTTCAAGCTTCCAAGGCACCAACTTCTCTGAACGATCTTGTAGATGTCGTCGGATGGGGCCAGGTTGAATGGTCTCTTGTGGGTGTTCTGGAAGCGCCGTTCGAAGAATGGCGTCAGCCAAGCCATTGCAGTATTCACCGCTTGCTTTGGTGTGGCGGAACAGCGCACGCCTTTTGTTCAGGCGTCATCTTCTGCTGGAGCTCCTTGGCGATGTGCTTGGAGTTGGTGGTCCGTTGACGTGTCTTGACGACCGGCTGGTGGTCCAAGTTAACTTCTCAGACTCAGCGCAATAGGCTCCAGCATCGCATTGGGCGATCATGTTCTCTGGGCTGAGGTTCAGCACGGCCTTCACGGAAGGTGTGATCCAGATTCCTGATCTCAAAGGATTCTCGCCCAGATATAGACGATCATGTTCGTTCTGGTAGTGCGTGACGTCGCAGCCAAAGTCCACCAGGATGCGATCTTGATCACGTAGATCTTGAAGTTCTTGCGGTCGCCAGCTGTAGTTCACGTTCTCGTTTGAAGAGGTTCCAAACATTGCATGGTCACGGGATGTGGACCAACAGCGGTTGGAACTTATAGACGCCGCTGTGTAGAGGTCCACATTGATCTCCTTGTCGATGGGTTCCAGCGAGCTCAATCCGCGTAGTACAGCTCGAGTGGAGAGGTTAGCCGAACCTGCAAAGATCTCGAGAAGGTCGATCTTCATGCGTTTCATCTTCTCCGCAAAGGACTTCATGGTCGTGTAGATGTGGTTCTCCTGGAAGTAGGTCTTGGCGACGTTCCTCAAGTAGCTGGTGAGCCAAGTGGTTTGCCCCCTGTCTTCAGGGGCTTATGGCGTCCACCTGCTCCCAGTCCAGTCGTAGTCGGAGGAATCCAATTGCTCCGGCTCTGCTTCCTTCCTCTTGCCTTGCGCTTGGGCCGTGTGCCTTGGGTGTGGATGCCTTGTTCGGAGAACTGCCAGGTGTCAGGCTCCACTGTGGACGGTGCTGTTTGTCCAGGAAGGTTGAGGCCTTTGATGATGAGGGCAATGGCAGCTGCCGCGATTTTGGTGGTGGCGGATCGATCCATTTTTGTTGGCTTTCTTCTGACCACCGCCGCTTCTTGCCGCAGTGATGGCAGTTGGCATAGCTGCCGCGACGATTGCCCGACCGTGCAATGCTCTCGTGGGCGCATGGTCCCTCGACCTTCTCCATGATGGCCATCGTGTACTCCATCTCGGTGGGATCTTGAAAACTCAGCCAGCTGCAGGGCCTGATTCCCTATAGCGAACGGCCTGGATCAGGACTGTCGGCCTCGCTCAGCTGCCGGCTGCCGGATCAGCCGCCTCCATGCGCGCAGGGTGGAGCTCGATGCATCAGCAAGTGGCGCTGATGAAGCTGGTGTCGCACCGTGAGGCTTGACATGCGACAGGTCCGTCTGCAGGACTGCAGGCGCAAAAAACAAAATCACGATCGGCCACATCGGCAATGAACATGTCGGTGAACTGCTTCCAAAGCGACGAACGACATTCAGGAAACTCTGAGACGCCGATCGCAAGGCGGCCTCCAATCAAACAAATGGGAAACTCGATGCTGAGGGCCTGCGTGACGACCTTTGGTTGGGGGAGGTCCAAAACCATCTTCAACTTCTTACCCGTGAGCTCATTGCTCGCCAGAAAGGGGATGTTGTTGGTGGTGGACAACACACTTGCACCTAACAAAGCCATGTGGTTGGCGTCCGTGTCAAAGCAAACCGGGATGTGAGCGTGAACTTCACTTTTTTTCAGTGGGGCCGTGGCCGAACTCGAAGGGTTCTCGACATGGGAAGGTGCGAACTCGTAGACCATGATCTTTGAGACTCTCTTGATGATGTGTCAACCACAAAGTACTACAACATGACATCTGGCACGCCGTGTCCACGACCATATGCCAGGTTGCCCTCAGAAATCGGTGAAGTGACCATATATATAGGTGAAGTAGGTGCCCTATAGGTGTTCTCAGGGACATATTTGGAGGGTTCCTCAAAGTTCACCGACTTCTTGGCCCCGTCATGGTGGGCCACCGTGAGCACCATCATTGGCAGGAGGCTAAGTGATTTGTCAAATTTCTGACCTGTTTGGTCTGAGCTTTGAGGACATTTGGGATCACCCTTCCAGTGACCACGGGCGCCACAAACGGCGCAGTGCGACTCGGCCTTGCCTGCGCTGAAAACTTGCGGCCCAATGTCAGGCCTTGGAGGCGACGCGTCGTCACCGTCAAACACTCAGCAGCTTCGTGAAGCCCGGTCATGATGTCTTCGACATTCTCGCCGGTCTCCTCATCTTCATCGGGGTCCTGAGCTCAGGGGGATCTGCATCGCCGGCTTCATCAGAGCCAGCTTGTTCAGCTTCCAACTCACCGTTCTCATCTTCAGGGATCGTGTCCTCGATGGCCTCCGTGATGTAGGTCTTTCGGGTGAAGGCAGACTGGTTTTTGGTCTTGCCTTTGCCTTTCCCTAAGCATCCTCGATTGAAAAAATTCAATAGATCGATTGAATTTTGAGCAAATTCAATCTTCGATTGAAGATTGAATTTTGAAACTAAAATTCAATCTTCAAACTATTGCATTCGATTGAATTTTCGATTGATTTTTTCACATATAGATGTTGGAAAGAAAAATGTGTAAATTGACCTAGTCGAACAAGCTTCAAAAGTTAAAGCAAAGAAATGGCTAGCATTGGGCAGCCCCAAGTAGATATGAGCAGTTATGGCTGGAGAGCCTATCCTTTTTGGGCTGGACAGCCCATGTCATTTTTGGGCTGGACAGCCAAAACATGAACCTTCCTGTGCAGGTTGTCACCATGTCCAAGAAAAAGGGTAGGGGTGGTGCTAGAAGGAACAAAGTTCCTGAGGTGGATGAGGAGCACCTCTTAGATAGTCTTCTGAGCCATGCCAGGAAGCTTGGAGGGCATGCATTTGTCATGGGGAAATATTGGAAGCTGGAAACTTCCCAGAGTGTGAAGGGTGACTCTATGGCAGATTTGCTGCCATTGCTGCAGGTGTTGGGATCAGTATGCCAGAGCTTGGAGTTCAAGTACAGCACCCTGAAGAATTGCTACCAGGAGGTCTTGAAGCAGTTCCCTGTCATCAAGGAGATGTTCCAGGTTTCAGGGATGGCAATGCTTCCCCAGAGCTTAGCAGAATGCACCTTGGTAATTTGCAACCATGCCAGGAGGATTGGCAGGGATGACAGCAAGTTTGCAGGGGCCTGTTCAAAGGTTACTACTTTCCAGGTGGAGAAATTGGAGGCAGTTAGGCAGCTGGTTCGCATGGAAAACAAGAAAGCTGTGCTACCCACAGCAGGCAGAAACACAAGGGAGTGGGTCCATGGTCAGGAAGAGAAACCTTTTGAGGTCCTGGGCACTTGATGGAGGGAAGTGTGACAAGATCTTTAGGAAGGCAATGCAATCCATTGCCTTGGAGAAAAAGCATGGGGTAGAAAAGGAATGGTATTCCAAGAAGAAAATGGAAGATGAACTGGGGGTGGAAGAAATGACTGCTCGCCTGAAAGCTGGGACTCTCAAATGGAGAAGGAACCCAGAGGACACCAGGTTCTTCCAGTTCCAAAAGCTGGCAGAAAAGGAGGCCACTATGCTCACCAAAGTGAAAGGGGGGCAGCAGGGAAGTGAAGGGCACAGCAAGCAAGGATGAACTGCTGGCTTTCGACCACCTGATGCTGGAAGATCTCAATGAAGATGACTTTGTCCTGGGGCTAGGGGATGGTGAGGAGGAGGAGGAATTTGAGGGGATCAACAAGGACCTGGCCAAGGCCATGGGCCTCAAGAACAACAAAGACCCCAAGTCACCAAAAAAAGGACAAAGAAGACAAATGGGCTGTGCTCAGCCAA